GTCTCGGTGGATTTGAAATGTTACATTAAAATTTTTACCAAGCCCAGCACCTGTATTGTCATCTTGAGTGAGAGTGCAGATAATTGTCAGTATTTGGGGCGCAGAACCAAATCAGTTAATTGACTGCACGGAAATGACTTCTGACCTCTGACCCGAGGTCACATTTGGTTTCCGTTCTTATCGTGCTGTCACTGCAGCCACTCTAGAAAATCCTCGAAAAAATCCTCCCACCTGGATTTGAAATGTTACATTAAAATTTTTACCAAGCCCAGCACCTGTATTGTCATCTTGAGTGAGAGTGCAGATAATTCTACACTAGTCTCCAGTGCACCCTTTACATTCTGAAGAACAGAAATACATATATTGCAGTGTAACTCAGATAAGCAGAAACTGTTACATACCATACTCGTCTACCTCAAATGTTGTTTTGTAGGTGGTGTCGGCTATCTGAGCGTTGATGGACCATTTCCCCAGCACTGGTTCTTTGGACAGCTGCTGTTCCAGGCTTGCAAGACCTGACCAGTAAAAATTGCAATGATGAAAGTTAACACTTCATAAGTTCTGTCTCACAAATCAACTTAACGAAATCCAATCATCTCTTAATACTAACAGTTGGTGATAAAAAGTCTAAAAGAAATGCATTACCGGTAACTTAACTGGTATTTTATAATCTTCTTCAACTTTGGTACATTGGTTTTTTATCTTTTGACTCTATTGCATATGAATATATACAGACACACAAGCAAACACACACACATACATACACAAACACATAAAGCTGTACCTACCCTTCACAGTTGGTACATCGAGCCACTGGTTAATCCTGCTGCCAGTTTTATCCTCTATCCACACCATGTCAATCTGGGAATCAATGTTAAAAGCATTACAATAACATCATGGTTGGAAATAAAATATTATTCAAAATATACTTTCAATTCTTTATGCAGTACAAGTCTTTTTTACAAATTTTCTCAAAGATACGATTCTAAATGATCTGATAGGAATCTTTGACAACTCATTCTTTTTTTCTTGTCAATCCAATTCAAAGTAATATCTCAGAAATAATGCGGTGTGCCTACTTTGGATTGCTTATACAATATAGTAAGTCACAGCTTGTCAGACATGCTATGTGGTTGAGTGTTGAATCTGATCTGAAACTCCATATAATGAAGGATTGAAGGACACTCACATTTTCCTCATAGGGCCTTAGATCCTGCTTCACAGTGAGAATACGCATCTGAACTGTAAGTGGAAAAAGAGATGTGAAGTTGTTTCCATTGACACACAACACAACACAAGAAGTCATACCGCATACTGTCACAAGCTAGCTGGCTGGGATGAAATTCAACATGGTTCCATGCCCAATTATTTTAGTGCTGTAAAAACCAATTTATTAGATGCAAGGAGGCTGCCAAATTATGAATTTGAAAGAAGCTGAAAACTGCCCACAACAGTTGCCACCAAGTTGGGAGAGGGAAATCAATCTCAGAGCATTGGATGGGTGATCTTAGATATCAAATCTTTTCCTAAATTTTCCCCTGGCAGTAGAAAGTTTTACTGCTATCATGGAGGCTCTTTAACCTCCTTGGTGCAATCAGCATTAAAATCACAGGCAAAATTGGTTTGACATAGATTTATACAGATATGAATATAGGATTAAAGGGAAAAAGATTTCAACACAGGTTTAGGCCACACCAATTTAATTTGTTGGTTCTCGGATTCGCCTCTTCGTTTCTTTCTGATTTGCAAAAAAAAAAATTGAATTCTGGTCCTGAATCAACTGAAAATGCTCATGTTT